TATCGTAGTCTGTATAACAACGCATCCAGGTCTTCACATAGTTGGTCCCGGGTCAATGCCCGATGGGCGATATCGTCGATATACGAGCTTCTCGCCAAGCCCGGACCCTTTGTGACGGAGCCGGGATATTGCGTCGAAATACGGTCATGTCCAATGCCGTGATCTCTTAATCCCGCATATATACCTCAGGTTTCAGGACCTCTTGCGGCTCAAGATTCAAAAACTCCAGAACCTCTTGGTCAACCAACTCTTCCTTATCCGGAGGCAGACGGACGAATCCCCACAGGCAGTTATTGATAACGCTCTGATAAATTAACGGCGCATTCTTCAATCCAAAGGGCATTCTGAGCCATTGAAAATGGCCGAACGGACCAACAAATGCAGAGATCAGCTTTGCCCGCTCAGTCATTCGCACCGCCCAGAATCCACTCGCCATGTCGAGACTCATAAACCACATTGCAGACTTGAAGTCTACCAGCAGGTCATCGATCAAGGGTAGAGGGTAGCGAGATAGCTTTATGAGCAGATTCAGAAGTCGTCGGTAGTCAATACACATTCGGATGTCTATGCCGTTCTTCTTCAGCACAATCACAATAGGTGATGACCACTCGGATTCTGAATGCTCAATGAGCTCAGCCTCTAACAACTTCTTCAGGAGGTCAAACACTTTCACCAAGAACGGTGCGGCAATCTGCCTCGCACGTAGATCCACTGGTTTTGCTTCACCAACGTCGATATCACACACTACGCCCCTAGCCGGGGCTGGGGCTGCGTTGCCATCTCCCAGGAAGATGCTGCTATGACGTTTCAGGATCCTTCTCATCTTGGCTTCCATCTCTGGAGTTACGGAACTCCGACATTAGCTTCGTCGATGTTTGCATTCTGGGGTCAGTTCCTCAATTTCTGGGAGCATGATAAGTTGGTCTCTTAACTGCGCCATCAAATCACTTCCTTCCCTGAGATACACAGCGGGCTCTAGATCCAGTTCTTCGGCAGACTCGAATTACCCGAGCATATTCCGCCTCCAGCCTTTGGACCGGTGTCGAACAGCTCGTCTGTGACTGGGCGTCTACTGACGGTTCAGGGACCTGAGCGTCATTCTCGACATCTGCCATACTCTCTGGATCCAGAGCCTCAACTTCTGAACTCGAGTCAGGATGGGTCTGTTCTACCGGTTCAGGACGGATCTCAGGCTCCTCGGGGTCTATCGCGACCGTGTTCATGACGACCGCGGAATTCCCAATGGTCTTGAGTATCATGTCCAATGGTTTCGGCCTTTCTTGCAACTTTACCATCCTCACTTCAGCGACTTGGGACTGTGGACGCATCAAGAGCTTAGTAGGTCACTGATATCTCTGAGTCTGGGTGCACGGAGGCTCCCTTTCCCTGAAGCTCTGCTCTAACCGCTCAGCACGCATCCTTCCTTGGCGCGACACGGTGCACTCATGGATTAATTGTTGCCATTCTTCATACCGCGTTTTACCAGGACGAACGAATCCAGGCTGTCCTGGGAACTGTCCGTACTCCACAATACGCGCAACCGGAGTCGTAATGTTGATCCAAACGTTCTGGTCTAAACCATTAACCACCTTGACGGCAGTCGCCCAAGATCTAGTAGAGTACCAGACCTTGGTTACCCAGTTTTTTCCTCTCCCAGCCCACACCAACTCACGTTGGGGATTGGACTGGCCATACCGAATTCGTACAATAGCATCCTGACCAGGACGCAGGTGTATGCTTTCCTCTGGGCACCCAGGAAGGTCCATACTACGGGACTTGAGATCATTATCGTACATCATCGCAGTCTATTCGTCTGGCAGTTTGACTAAGCCTTCTCGTATGCAGAGTCGGACACCTGCCGAATGCATAAAATTCATGCCTAGCAGAACGTCCACACCTTCTCCAATATTTCCAACCCAGATATTCAGGACGTACACTACACTCCATCCGAGAGTTATCTTCACTCGGGCATGAGTAATAATGTAAGTGGTCACTCCTCCCAAACCAGAGACTTTGATTTGACGATGTGTCCGGAGCTTGAGTTTGAGTCTACGCGCTAGATCAAGACTCATAATGCTCACGGACGCACCAGTGTCCAATAAGATTCTGGTTCTGGAGTCGTTCACCGATCCGTGTATCGTCGCCAACCCATGCATGTCTTCATGTTCGTGATTTTCCCACCATCCATACCTCTGACCCGGTTTCAACGGTACTTCCAAGGGATCCTGAGATTCAGGCTCAGCGATCTCTGGAATCGGGCCATCGGAACGCTGGTACTCTGAGTACAATTGTTCAGGGTAGAAGATTTCATCTTGAACTAAATTCATGCATTGTTGGTTATCTTGTAGTT